GGGAACCTGCAATGGGAACAGGATTAAAACCACTTGTGTACAGATGGCAAAGTGTTGTGTGTATGTGTGTGGGTGAGGGGTGTGGAAGTGTTCACATATAACTTCGCAATTAGGAAGCTCTATTATAAGGAAGCATTTCATTCTATCAAATACTTTTCCTCATTCACGTCGTCACCATCTTTATTATTTTCTTTGATTGTTATGAATGCATTTCATAACGATCAGTGAAAACCAGTGTTAATGGTTATCATGAGTTTTTAAAAAGCATTAGGTAGATAGTGTATTCTGTTTGCATATCACTCTACTTTGGAATAAATCCTTGAACCAAAGACAAACTGAATGCAGACTTTTAAACAATATATCACAAAAACCTATTTAAGCTTTACACTTGTTGTTATGGAATTAATTTACGGATTGCATTATTACACACGTGTAACAGTTGTAATTATGCAGTGGGGTTTATTTAATTTCATTTTGTATAATCACACAAATTCTGTGTTTTATATTATTTAATGTTCAATACCTGACTGACATGGTTGAAGTTTTCTTTTTGTGCACTTTTTTTTGTTTCTTCATCATTATTATCAGCACTTTATGTCAACAAATACTGTAAACTATGTTTGCATCAGCACACCTCCACTCTAGATGATTCCATGTTTATAGCCAGTGTACAGGTTTATTTCTTCTTATACATTTCATGTATACTTACTATTTATGAAGAGCACAAACTGCTTCCAAAAGTCTACACTTCACATAGAACTTACTGTCTCAGTGCCGTCATCTGGATAAGAAGTTGTCACTTGGTTGATCATGGATGCCTATGACGGAGTACAGTTTTAAGAACAAGATGCTGGAGCCTGAGACATTGCATGTCTTTATGATCACATACGGACAACTCACCATCTCAGTGCCATTGTCCTGGTTAGAATCCATTGCTTCAGTGGAGTGACATTGCCTTGGGTGTTGCATGGGGTCCTTTAGGGAAACAGACAAGCACAGGGAAAGCCATACACACTCTGAATGCCCTAGGTCTGCAGTTTGTGGTAGTAAAGTTTCATGAGGCTGTGATTATCCTAGAGGTCACAACAGGTCATTTTAAACAGTGACGTCAAGTTTTTAAAAAAATGGTTACTATGGGGAATAACATCACACATGAATACAAATGAGCTCACTGAATCGACAAGAGTCTCAGCTTTCCAGTCAAACCCAATGTATGCAACAAGACTGTTTAGTATGTACAAAAACTGCATGCTTTGTAATATCTGCAATGTATAGTTGCTGTCACTTGACTTGGGACTGTTTTTAATACAAACACATAAGCTACAGATCACAAAGTTTCTTTAAAAAATGCTTTACAGACGTGAAGGAATTTGATAAGAAACTGTTAATTATGTTAAGTGATCTCGAGCTGATGGGTTGTCTCCAGGTCAACTGCAACACTACTAGCTAGCAACACTACAGCTAGCTAACAATTATCTTGCTACACAGTATGAGTCAAATAAATATACTCATAATAAAATATATTACTGTACATTTGCTTTTCTGTTGAACTTTGTCTGTCGTGGCAGACCCTCGAACTGAATCCATTTTTTATATGGTCCTCGTATCACTCGCGGTGCAGGCATGCTGTCAATATGGAAACTATTAGCGCACTCAGCGCAGTGCACATACGGGTACTTCTGCTCTTACAGCCTTACCTTACTAGCCAATCAGAGGGAGAGTAGGGCGGGTCAAGCATGAAAATAACCGTTACTTATCTCTTAATCAAATGATCAGACGAAAATAAAATGTATGCCCTTGCTTATTTTGTGGAGGAAACCACCTACGAGGTCATACCTGCGGATTGGATAGAACATTTTGATGGAGACAGTTTTGAAGAAGACATGGAAGAAGTGGAGTATGTGGTGAATTGGCGAAAGGGGAAAAGTGGCAAGATCTCCAGATGTCCAGCAAGAATATTGGCTGCCAATGGTAAGCTAACTAAGTTAAGCTAACATTTGCTATATATTATCTATTGTTTTTACGTTACACAGCTGCTAGCTGGCTAGCCCTTTCAGTTATTGCTATAATGTTAGCTAAATAATGTTAGCTAAATAATTAATTAGTAGTTTAACCAGGGATTTTTCACTTCCAAAAGCAGCAGCCAAATTAAGCCATTGACAGGTGAAGTTTAACAGTTGCTATCTTTTGGTTATTCAATATTCATAATTTAACTGTGCTCTCCAAATATATTAAAAGTAATGTAGACAGACAGTTTATACAGTTTGAAATGTAACTGCTTTTCAAACTGTTACATTTGAAAAACAGTTAAATAAAAGAATTCTTGTGAATTTGTGTCACGTGTTCTGAATTGACCAATCAGAATTGAGTATTCAACTAAGCCATGTAATAAGTATATATATTCCAAATATAAGTTGTGCAGAACTATTATAAGTCATACCGCAAGTTAAAACGTTTGTATTTTTTCTTGTGTGTGTGTGAGGGAGAGAGAGAGGTGTTCACATCGGCCAACTGCCAACTGGTACTGCTGCTGCTGCGTCATGACGTCACCGTTTACGTCGCAAATGTTCTCCCCAACGCCGCTCATAACAACAACGGGGGACTGCGTCGGGTCACTTTTAATCATATGAAGCCAGATTAAATTAAATAACTACTTCTCCAACCTTATACATTTCTCCAGAGTGCCATCCCACACGGAAAGAAAGTATACGAACATATATGCCAATATATGGCAAATATATGCAGAATATATGCTGCATATATGCCATATTCAGGTTCATATATGTGCATATATGTGGATTAATAGGAGATATGTGTCATATATAGCTCATATATTTCCACATATATGCCAAAGTCAGGTTCATATATTTGCATATATCTCCTACATAATGCCTCATATATAGCTCATATATCTGTCTTTTTGCATATATGTCATACAGAATGCCTACATATATATAGGTCTTTGCAAAGTAATGTGGTAATGTGCATATTATTCCAAAGTTCTATATAACTACATGAATTAATCATTGTACTTATTTCCATTCAATGCAGATTGAGGTTTGCGGATTGCCCAAGACAATTCAATGTATAAAGACAATATTGTTTGATTACGGTATGTTTTATTGTATGAAGCAACATTTTTAGTTTAGTTATTTCACCCAGGACCGGAACCGGATGTTTATATCCGCTCGACGTCAGCTGATCAGTTTAAGATTAGTAAATTATTAAATATTTGATAATTGTACATTATCGTTAAAAAAACACATAATCTGAACCACAAGTTTTCACTAAATGTTACCTTTAATTGTTTACGTTTTTTATATTATTAGAGAATAATAGAGACATTCGCTGCAGAATGTAACGTCATAGAAAAGCGCCACTCACAACGAGCGCGCATTCATGACGTCATCCCCCTGTTTATGTGCACGCGCTGCCAGAGTGCCCGCTCTTTCAAATTCCAACCGCTCGCGGATACTGGAAAACACAACAGACAGAACAAACATACAAATTAAATTACATTAATGTCACCATGTGCACGTTTGCCTTGGTGGAGTGGACAGAAGGTAGTGACATGGGGACTTAGGAGCATTCTGCCGATTGACTGTGTTCGAGATGTTCATGAAGAGAATTACTTGAATGGCGACGAAAAAACTCCTGAGGAGTTTTTGGTGGAATGGCGCCATGGACGCAAGGGAGCTAATAGACAGTGGCCGGTGTATCAAGCCAGGATCATCAAGGTTGCAAGTATGTATGTTACACGCTATCCATATTTATTTAGCTTTAGTAACTAATTAAATGAACAAAAGCCTGTAAACCAGGCAACGTTTTCAGACCAAGGACCCCTTGGCTGAGAGAGAGAAGAAGCAGGGACACCCACTACATATTGTATACAATTGTGTTGTAAATTAAAAATGTTCATAGATTTCTTAGACAGCTTCATAGACTTTGACAGCACTATCATCAGTGTATGTTCCATTAATGTGTATTTTCAGACATTTAACCACTTGAGCCATCAATATTTAGTCTTTCCCCCCCCTCTACACCAAACCTCTGCCAAAAATAGCAGATCTGTAGTAACTCTGGGGACCCCCTAGGGGTCCCGGACCCCCTGTTGAAGACTCCTGCTGTAGACTATATGTTGAGCCAGCTACGCTTTTCGGCGCGAGCAACCATAACAGAAAATAGCAGTACAGTGTTTGCTACTGTGTCACGTTAATATTGATTTATCTGCACCAGAATGGGAGAAGAGTCTGAAAAGAATACTCTGTGAGATGGAGACCAATGACGAGGCTGACACAACTAAACGGGTTACCGAGCCCAATTGGCGATACGTCGACAGTGATGAAGAGGAGGAGGAGAAGGAGAAGGATCCTGCTAAGAAGAGGGCTCATCTGGATGAAGAGGAGAGACCTATTTCCAAGAAAAAGGTAACTGACTGCATCCATTGCGTGTTGTAAAGGTAAGTTTCGATTTAGCTGCATAACAGTAACTGTTTAAGGTAAACAATCAACTTGTGTGTGTGTGTGTGTGTGTGTGTGTGTGTGTGTGTGTGTGTGTGTGTGTGTGTGTGTGTGTGTGTGTGTGTGTGTGTGTGTGTGTGTGTGTGTGTGTGTGTGTGTGTGTGTGTGTGTGTGTGTGTGTGTGTGTGTGGTCTAGCATTACTATACTTGTGGGGACCTAAATGTGTTTACATAGTCACGTGTGGGGACTGACTTCCCTTATGGGGACAAATTGGAGGTCCCCATGAGGGGAATCATTAATTTTAGGGTGAAGACTTGGTTAGGTTAAGGGTTAGGTTAAGGGTAAGGGTTAGGGTTAGGCGTGTGTTGGTTATGGTTAAGGTTAGGATAAGTCTCCAGGAAATGCATGTAAGTCAATGTAATGTCCCCTGATGTGTTGTATACATGGTATGTGTGTGTATGTGTGTGTGAGTGTGTTTGTGTGTGTGTGTAGGCTGCAAGTGAGATGCAGAGGGAGCAAGACACTTCAATGTGGGAGAAGAAAAAAATGCAGCAATTCCAGACAACAATTCAGGACTTGAGGGATGCAAACTTGGCCCTGAAAAATGAAAATGATCATTTGAAAGACCTCATAATAAAGCGTAAGTATTATTGTATTGCAATATTGGTTTAATACAATCGGATAGGACTTTTCTGTTTTGTAAATGTGCTGTCAATGGACCGTGTTACAACTTAGATGCAAATAGCATCCAAGTTGCTTGCAGCTATGGTGATCTGATGATTGTAATTGGTGTGATTTAATTTGTTTTCTTCTGTACAACCCCACACTAATTATTCCTCAAATGAAGGAGGACATTGCCTCGCTTGCTGGAAGAGTAAGTTCCTCTTATTTGTATCACTTTATTTTACTTGTTACTTAATCAGAGGAGGAGATTTTTATGATGTTAGGCTGATTAGGGCAATTCACCTGCTGTTTGTATTTTTAATTGTTCAAAAATTAGAACATACTGTCTTCCTTCTCTAACAAGTGTGCAGCAACCTCAAAACAATTGCAGGTGAGTAACATTTTTCTTGTTCTAAGGGTGGATATTTTATGATGTGACTCTGTAGGAGGCAATAGTCTACAAATGTGTGTTTGTCCAGGGCTAATCTCATCAGTGCCAAATTGTTCATTGCCAACAGGCCAAGAACCTCCGCTTTCACATGTGTATTATATCATAATGGAAATCAAATCAATGGACAAAAACCTTGGACAAATTAGTCATATGTCATAGAAAGCTAACTACAAAATAAGTTTCATCCCCCTTTAATTCATCTTGCTTCTCTTGTAAAAAGCCTCAACATACTGTGGCAGCTGCAGAGCCTCAGAAGAAGCAGCCTGGTGATGACGATGATGATGGTGGTGGTGATGGTGGAAATAACAACAAAGTAAGTAACAAGTCAAAAATGTATCTATAAGCTCTCAAGGCGGGAGGCGGGAAAACATATAGATTGGATATTTTTGCTATTTGACATAAAACAACGTATATAGGGTTATTTGTGTCCATATTGCCCAGTTATTACCACTGTAAAAGTTAACCGTATAGATTTTGTCATGTCACTGTTTAATTTCCAGATCCATGGAGAGAGAACCGAAGCTCCAGAGAAAACCGAAGCCCCAGAGACAGTAAGTAGATGCATATTCTTAAGGTACAGGTTACATGAAAATGTTATCTGGACAGTGGTTATGTTTTTGATGGGTAACTGCAAAATTGATGCATTACCGTGCGTGCCCATGTTAGATCAAGTTTAGGACAGTGATTTGTTACTTTAGTGCCTTTATCATTCTTGTGCAGTAGACAACTATTTACTACTGATCTATACAAACTATGTTAGTTTGTATAATGTTAATTAATAATCAATTGTGATATTCCATAAAATATATTTGTGAAAGTTGTATGCCTACTAATACATTTATATGTGATGTATTTTTCACATTGAAATTGTGAAGGGGTCAGGAGTGTTTTGCAAAAGAGATGCGTGGAAGGCATCCATCCATACCACTTCTGGCACAGCAATGGTGCGAACTCTCCTCCTCGGCACATTTCCCCTTGAAACCCTGCTTCAGAGCAACCTCAACGGTAAAAAAAAACCAGCTACTGTTCAAAATCTCTTTAAATCAATCCTGTCATTAATAAAGAAAGGCAGTTTACACATGTGTTTTTCTTTCTAAACTGATTCACCTAAGAATGGAAAAACTGAACTATTTTCTTACTCTCTGTTTTCGCTGCTGCAATTTGTTGCGAGTAATGTTTTTTTTACAATTGTCCCACACTCTAGCCCAGTGGTTCTCAAACTTGATCATTTACAGGACCCCCATAACTCAGAGTGTATGATTGGAAACCAAATGTGTATGGGTCTATTTGGAACACCCCCAAGGAACCTTGAGTGTCATTTGTCCCTGGACAACCACTCTAGCCTAAAGTGTGGGCCATTAGTATGTAAACATTAGCTGCTGCAGATCAGCAGGATTACCCACTTTTCATTTGCAAAATAATAATTATGAAATATTACTTTAGGTGGCAAGCCAAAGCGAGGTGATGGGGAGCAGCTGGAAGCCCTGGACCCAGGAAAAAAGGCGGCCATAATCGGTGAGTAAAAACGAATGAATTTAGAAAGGAAAATAAAAGTTAATAGAGATGCCTCAAGTTGACTACTTTAACCATCCCTGTTTCACTATTTATTAGCTATCAATGGTAGGATCAGCATCAGCATCAGGTAAGTGAGGACCAGAGGTCGCGTTAACCGAATATATTCCGTCTATGACGGAATTCTTTTGACAATGACGGAAAAATCTGAAAGCAGTCCGTCATTTTGACGGATTAGAACAAACTCAGAACAGCGCCAAAGTTTCCCCGCAGCAGGGCTCCGGTGTTATGCCCTTATGTCGTTTCCAGACCTAACTATGCCGTACAAATCATTGAAATGTCTGGGAGTTTATGCTTTACGCTGTGGCGCGCTCCCGCGAGGTGCAGTGGGCATGCACAACACGGCATAACACCGGCGCTAATCCCCCCCCGTTGACAGTTCACAACCTCTGGTGAGGACACCCATTAATGGTATATGCACGGATTAGCACCTACTGTAGGGTGATCACTACATTTTCAATTGCTCACTTCTTGATCATAGCTCTCTTCTAATAGAACCCATTTTCTGGGCTAGTGTGCTTCCACTGTGGTGGTCCTCTGTGTTATAGAATATGTAGTCGTTAATAACCCCATGACACTAATTGTTTTCCTCTGCAGTGTTAAATGACCAGCATCTTCACCCTTAATCAATGACCATGCCCTTTGTACTGTGTTTGTGCCATATCATGTCTTTAATTAATTTTCTTGATTGCAATGCATAACTTATTGCTCTTCTGGTAAACAACCTGTGCTGATGATCTCTGTTGTTTGTATACAAGTGAAGTTCATGTGATGTCATTTTTTTTTTTTAAACAGTATTTTGAAAAGCCAAACTTTACCTAATTCTAACTAATAATTGTAAATTTAGCAGCTTCTTAGACAGATTTGGTAAATGCAATGACTTTTCAGATAATTCAAAAATAATAGTAATGATATATGAAACAAATCACTAATAAAATAGATCATCTGTTTGAATAAAGGCTTTGGGCTTTATCTGCCAATAAACTCACAGGGGAGCTTGTGTACACTACACCAGGAGGTGGTTTGGCAAAACATTTGGAGTGGAATGCTTGGAGTCTGTAGAAAACTTGGAGCATTTTTACACTGACATCTCATTATGTCCTTTTCTTTTCTCTGTAGAGGCAACAATGAAGAAGTGGCCACACACAACGAAGGGCCAGCTGGGTACAGCCATCAACAACAAGCTGACAGAGCTCAGGGCTTGCCAAAAGCAGACAAAATAATTGACATTTATTGACAATAAATGTATGTTAATGACTTGTACATTTTGTGTGTTGTATTTTTTTATGTAGGTAGGCTATGTATAAACCTTGAACATAGGTGTAAATAAACATATAGGCTAAACTTTTATGTGCATTTATGTGAAACCTATATGTGAAACCTATATGTGCATATACACTGCACCCATATATGTAGGGGTCCAATTTCAGATATGTCACATATATGTTAAACATATATGTGACATATATTAAAAATATATAGGTTCATATATATTCCTTCCATGTGGGATGGTTAATTGTTTATTAATGTGTTTTCAGCGGCATTTACCGAGTCAGAGTTTATTCTCCCGTTAACTACCCGCTGTGAAGAATATATTCACTGTCTGACTGTCAAGCAGCTGATACATACTGTAGCAAGTTCTGATAATGACAAATATAATTTCTCAAATTGTCTTTTTATTTATTTATATACCCCCACCCCATTGCAGTGGATCGACTGAAGATCGTCGAGCTGGCCAATGGAGCAACGTTATCCTCCTTGGAGAAACAGAAAGGAAGGGGAAAGAGGGAGAAAATGTTACGGTGAGTGAAGCAAGCAGGACCCAAATGCAGATAACACTGAAAAAAGCCTTTATATCACAAAACTAGGGCCACCAGGGTGGGTGGAGGGGGTCTGGAGGACGGGTTTTGGGCTGACAGCCCAGGAGCACAGCGGAGGACCCGGAAGGGATCTCGGGCGGACGGCCCGGGTGCAAGGCAGAAGCCGAGAAGGGGGACTCGGGCGGACGGCCCGGGGGCAAGGCAGAGTTCAAGGTGGGGGTCTCGGGCGGACGGCCCGGGGGCAAGGCAGAGTCCATGGTGGGGCGAAGGCCACAGCGGGCGAACTCAGGAGGCCGAGCATGAGGGCGAAGAAGGCAGCGACAGGAAGAGTCAGGGGGCCGGGCTCGAGGGCGAAGACCGCGGCTCTCAGGGGGCCGGGCTCGAGGGCGGAGACCGCGGCTCTCAGGGGGCCGGGCTCGAGGGCAAAGACCGTGGCTCTCAGGGGGCCGGGCTCGAGGGCGAAGACCGCGGCTCTCAGGGGGCCGGGCTCGAGGGCGAAGACCAGACAGCTCCAGAGGCCGGGCAGGAAAGCGCTGACGGGACAGCTCCGGAGGCCGGGCAGGTCCCAGTGTCGGCCGGACAGGAACCCCCATGGAAGAGGACCAGGAGTTGGCAGGACCCCCGGCGAGACAGGACCTCCAACGGAACAAGACATGGGATTGGCAGGACCCCCGGCAGAGGAGTAGTCGACGGGACCCCCAACGGGACAGGACATAGAGTTGGCAGGACCCCCAGCGGAACCTCCAACGGCACAGGACATAGGGTTGGCAGGACCTCCAGCGGAACCTCCAACGGGACAGGACATGGAGTTGGCAGGACCCCCAGCGGAACCTCCAACGGACCAGGACATTGGGAAGGGACTTGAGACGTGACTCGAGAGGGTACTTGAGAGGAGACTCGAGAGGGAAACCAAGGGGGAACTAGAGAGGGGACTCGAGAGGGGAACCAAGGGGGAACTAGAGAGGGGAACCGAGGAGGGACTAGAGGAGGAGATAGAGGAAGGACTAGACAAGGGACTTGAGAAGGGAACTCGAGAGGTGACTAGAAAGGGGACTCGAGAGGTGACTTAAGAGGGGACTCGAGAGGGAACTGGAGAGGTTAAAATCGCAAAGCATTGTGGGGATTTTAAGACCGGAGCCTACACACGCCGGGCTCGGTAGAATTCCAAGTATGCTGGCCATTGGAACAGTACTTCGGCGGCACTCAATGACGTAGTATGCTTGAAATAGTGGCTCTGGAGCAGCTTTACTCAAGACTGAGAAACACCCACCAGTTAGCTGTCTTTGTGTATTGCAACCAGCTGCAATGGATCATGGATCCACCAGGGAGAGCCGTGATGGATGCTGCCACAATGAAACTCATGTGAAATAAACAGCAGCCTGTTGTTTCTATGCATAAAATAGTGAGAAACATGCCTCTGGTTAATTATTATATAACTTGTTTTCTCTATAAAAGCTGGTGTGGTGGGTTGAAAGCAATACGGGAGGGAGGTGAAAATAACTATATTGTAGAATACAGAAGAATTGTGATGCCGTGGCTTTATCTGAAAACTGCATAAGCATAATTACATGTATGGCCCGGGACCAGAGCTGGGTGTAACCCCCAGTTTCCACCGGGTCCGTCTGCGTCGCGTTATGGCTGCACCGCGGCGTTCGCGACGATCGCGGCCACTCTAGTCAATGGGTGCTATTCCACCACACGCGGCGCGTTACGGCTCAGAAGCGTCCCAGAAGCAGAAACGCCAGCGTTCTCCTCCGATTTACAGGCACTGTGTAAATTATATATATAGAATAATTATGATGATGACTGCATTTTTTTTACCACTAATATACAGCAACACATCTTTGATTCATGTCGTTTATAACTTGAATATTATTATTATTAACTTTGTCTGTACAAAGTAGCCTGTCCAGGAAATATGCCCAAATCAACAAAAACTGCGAGCCGGCAGGCTTCTGAAATGCTTCTGAAACGCACCCGGTGGGTTATGACGCTAGAGGAGGTCGGACCAAAACCACGGCGCTGCCTTAACGAGGCGCAGACGGACCCGGTGGAAACTAGGGGTAACGCAGCCTGCCGGCTCGCAGTTTTTGTTGATTTGGGCATATTTCCTGGACAGGCTACTTTGTCTGTACAAAGAACTGGGATGTTTTCAGCCTCCAGGAATTGTATACAGATCCTTGCAACATGGGGCCGTGCATTATCATGCTGCAACATGAGGTGATGGTCGTGGATGAATGGCACAACAATGGGCCTCAGGATCTCGTCACGGTATCTCTGTGCATTCACAATGCCATCAATAAAATGCACCTGTGTTCGTCGTCCATAACATACGCCTGCCCATACCATAACCCCACCACCACCATGGGCCACTCGATTCACAACATTGACATCAGAAAACCGCTCACCCACACAACGTCACACACGCTGTCTGCCATCTGCCCTGAACAGTGAAAACCGGGATTCATCCGTGAAAAGAACACCTCTCCAACGTGCCAGACGCCATCGAATGTGAGCATTTTCACACTCAAGTCGGTGACGACGACGAACCGGAGTCAGGTCGAGACCCCGATGAGGATAACGAGCATGCAGATGAGCTTCCCTGAGACGGTTTCTGACAGTTTGTGCAGAAATTCTTTGGTTATGCAAACCGATTGTTGCAGCAGCTGTCCGAGTGGCTGGTCTCAGACGATCTTGGAGGTGAACATGCTGGATGTGGAGGTCCTGGGCTGGTGTGGTTACACGTGGTCTGCGGTTGTGAGGCCGGTTGGATGTACTGCCAAATTCTCTGAAACGCCTTTGGAGACGGCTTATGGTAGAGAAATGAACATTCAATTCACGGGCAACAGCTCTGGTGGACATTCCTGCTGTCAGCATGCCAATTGCACGCTCCCTCAAAACTTGTGGCATTGTGCTGTGTGATAAAACTGAACATTTTTAGAGTGGCCTTTTATTGTGGCCAGCCTAAGGCACACCTGTGCAATAATCATGCTATCTAATCAGCATCTTGATATGCCACACCTGTGAGGTGGGATGGATTATCTCGGCAAAGGAGAAGTGCTCACTATCACAGATTTTTTCAGATTTGTGAACAATATTTGAGAGAAATGGTTATTTTGTGTATATAGAAAATGTTTTAGATCTTTGAGTTCATCTCATGAAAAATGGGAGCAAAAACAAAAGTGTTGCATTTATATTTTTGTTCAGTGTAATAATATTACTTTTGTCGGTAACGGAGTAGTGTAATGCGTTACTTTTATAATTCAGTAATCACACTACAGTTACTAACATTGCCCGACACGCGTTACTTTTATAAAATCAGTAATCACACTACAGTTAGCCTACTAACATGAATAATTACTAGATTCTCCCTTTGACAGACAATTGGGATTTCCGGCGCAGGTTTATATTTATGTAACATTTGCGCGACTTTACTTCGATCTACTGTACTGTGTACACCACAACAATATTACAACAAATATACTGCATATTAAAGCAAACTACTGTAAAGGTAAAAGTATGAGCATAAAAAATAAAGTGTAAACATGATTATTTACTATATTATTGAATTACAATTAAGATAATAAGATTAGATATACTTTATTTTATCTAAAATATTGATGTTTTTTCGTTATAGTAGCCTGTGAAAACCATAACAAATTAGTGATTACATTATTCAGCAAACACAACTGCAGAGCTGCAAACATTGCAAACAGACTAAGGTCTACAACACCCAGTTGTCTTTGTGTATTTGTGAATGAAGCGCCATCTCATGGTTAAATCCTGTAATTGAACAAATGGGGAAATTTGGCAACGCCCCCAGCCACTGGGATCCGCTGGGTTTTCGGGTGGAGTGCTACATCTGTAGTGACTGCTTTTCGTTTTTTTTTGTTTTGTTTACTTAGTTGTGTTCTCTGTATTTTATATGTCTGTGTTATGTGTAAAAATATATAACGTTGCTGCCTTCTTGGCCAGGTCAGCATTGTAAATAAGATTGTATCTCAATGTTTTTTATCTGGTTAAATAAATGTATCTGGTTACAAAATAAATAAAAATAAATAAAGGACAAGAGGCATGGTTGACAAGAGGCATGGTTGAGTGCAACTGAACAAACAAATCATGACAAAATAATATTCCTTTTAGCCCAGGGGGAAAATCCGAACTATTTTCACAGAGGGTTACATACAGAAGAACATGAAGGGACACTCACAAAAAGTGAGATATATTGCCTCATGTGCTAGATTATAAGTCAGTAAAATCAACTTGATCCTTGAAACTGCTGTAAAAAACACAACATCTCACCTCTCAATTAGTCTTATTTTATTTAGTTTGCAGCTCCATGCATTAAAACAGAAGCTTCAGACTGACTATAAAAAGATTTGTTATGGAAATAAGTGATCTGACTTTT